AGAAGGGCGGGGGGGCCGGCGGGAGCGGGCGGTCGGAGTGTGTGTCCGTTCTCACCCCAAAAAGGGGGAGGCAGTGCGGAGCGGGTGGCGGGAAGGGGGCTGTGGGCGACCTCTTGTGCCACATTGGGTACTGTTCGGCCAAGGTGCGTCCGAGACGAAGGGCTCGGAGGGTCCATTGCAAGGTAGAGGTGGAAAGCGCCTGCAGTCCAGAAATGTGAGCCGTGCTTGCCTGAAATGGCTGCCCCACTCAAGGTGATCCAGTCGGTCGCAATGCCGGGCCTCTTCAGACCTGAATCCTATAAAGGGGCGAGGCTCGATACGACTTCCCTCGGAACAAGTAGTGGCTGATGAACAAAAGTATCCTGAACCGGGGAGCCCCAAAGCCTTGACCTGTCAATGTAATGCGGGGAGCACCAACGCTACCACCCCGGAAGCCAATAAAAGGGGAGCACCAATGCTGCAACCCGTGGGGGAAGGGGGGTGTTGAATCAGGAAGTACTGCAGGAAGACCTCGTTCGGTGGTCCACTGCACCGGCCGTTCCACAGTTGCCGTCTCAAGGTACTTGTTGCAGGAGCTGGGGGTGACATCGACCGTGACGCCACTAAAGTTCCTTCTGTAGTACACTGTAGCAAGGCTGGAATTAGTTGAAAGTTCCCGACTTTCTTGCCCGCCGTAGTGCTGAAATTCACGAAGTCCGGCGGTCTCACCTCTAATGCATGGTGGTCTCCCGCACCGCGTCCAGTTTGATGCAACATACAATCGCTTCGTATCAACAAGCTTCAATCTGCCAACAGCTGCCAAAGTCTGTATCTCTTCTGTCGGACCTATCATGCACTATCGTCTGGTTGGTCAATGTCGAATGCGACGTGGTCTTCATGCCAAGTGTCTACGCTAGCTCTTTTCTCCGGTTGCATCGCGGCATAGGAGGAAATGCACTGCATCCAATCGGAAACTGCGAGGTCGCTCTGGATTGCACAGTCTTGCTACACATGTAGAGGCTTCTTAGGCATGGACCAGCCAACAAGGTCTATCTCCAGCTTCATAGAGCGAAAGACTGCTACACAAATACAGGTCGTGTCAAGACCGTCACTACCTTCACGATCGCAAAGCACTAGCATGACGCAATACTTCAAGTGCCGTCTGTGCATCTCGACATATGCGGAGGGCCAGCCAGATGCTGCCACAATGCTGTAGACTCTACTGTGACGTCCAACCCATCCGGGAGTAGGGCAATCCACTACTGGGGAGCTGAATAGGCCAGTGCCAACTCTTCGGCACTGGCTGGCGTCCTATTTAAGCCGATCGGCCCACATCTGTGCATACTTGGTAGGGTGCCACGTCCCATCTCTAAAAGGCGCAGCATCAATCAATGGAAACTTTCTGCGGCATGCGTGGAGAAGGGACAGCTGCCTTCCCTAACTGCTGCCTAACTGCCATGGTGCAACAAGTGATACAGCATATCGGAAATCCTCAGAGCTTTAGTGTGATTCCCCGCTACTCAAATCAAAACCTCATACAAGAACTCTACTGGCAGGCGGGTCTCTGGCATGTCCTCCCCTCCCAGGCGTAAGCTTCGCAAGCAACTCTCAGTGTCCATCGTCTACGAGGGCGGCGATAGGCCAATGTGTGGGAACTACAATAGACAAGATTGGTGAGCTGTGCTGTAAGGCAGCATGTTACAGCAGTCCGACTGACAAAGTATACGCGGGTTCAAGTCGCACAATTGCACCGCTGATCCTCGCCCTATTGAGCCGGTGACCAAGAGCCAGGCACCTTTAATCACCACTCTGCAGACGATTAGCTCAAGAGTGGATGTACAGCGTGCTGGAGTTCTCTGATATGATAGAAGCAGAAGATGGGAGAGGGCACTATCCCCCTAGCAGGAGGAAGGAGGCAGGGAGGGTGGGGGGTGCTCATCGGGACCAAGTCCCTTAGTGCCACCCCCGCCAAACAACTGCTAGGCTCGGGGGCAAGCGGAGCTCAAACGTGTGCTGCCCAGTGGAAACCCTACGCCTGGTCCCTCCACGGAGGGCCAAGCGGCCGATGGCCCCCCACCATGGCAGTAGCCACCTGTATATATCTGGTGTCTCCCTTGACGTACCATTATGTGCTGATCCCTGCTTAAAATGGTATCAATGTGCTTTGTCAGGAGCCCCGTCGCATTCGCAGCCTGCTCGTAGGCCAACCGTGCTGCATAACGATAGCTTTTGCTCGAACTGACGCCAGAACCACGTCGGCGCGCCTCCCTGCATTTTCTGCCATGGTGGATGCTGCAGCGACTGTGCGTACAAGCATCCCCCCCACCCTCGAGGGGGTGATCATGCACTACCTCATCCAGTTTGTTTCGGTGACCCCTGCGGACTGGATGAACATGGCGGCACCCTATATTCCTTGGGTGCTACTGGCTCTATTTGTTCTTTTTCAAGCTCGGCCCTCGCTCTCAGGGCGCCCAGGACGTGCTCTTGGGAATGCTGCGCCGCCCCCTAGCACCGTGCCTGCTGAGGAGCCGACCGGGGATGCACCCGAAGTTTGGGAGGTGGAGAAGGAAGAATCAGAACGAGACAAATCGCTGCAGACGCCCGAGCCGGACAAACAACCGTTGTCATCTCCCCCTCCACCGACGACCACAGAAGAACCCAAGACCTCCGCAGCTGAAGCCACGGTCGAGCATGATGCCCCGGCGGAACCGGTCCAGCAGACCACTGAGACGGCCCTCCCGGTGGAGCCAACTGCGAGTGCAGGCCAGGCGGAACTCCGCGCCTTCCGCGAGGCCCTACAGGAGATCAAGACATACATCGACGACAAGAGCATGGTCCTCAAGGAGATCAAAACCTTCATGGACAAGATGGCATCCCCTCCGGATGTCACCCCGGCCATTCAGAAGGCCCTTGAGCCGCTGACTGGGCTGACTGATCTGCGCGACAAGGTGGCGAGCTGTGAGCAAGCCACCAAAGATGTCTCCTCGAGCTTTGGGAACTACGTCTGGGAAGCGGGAGGCCGCCACCAGACGACGGACCAGTCCCTCACAGGACTCCATGAGTCCATAAAGGACCTCTTGAACCGCGTTGGTTCATACCAACGCAGGTGGGGATCCCTTCAGGACTTCAGCGGGAATCTGCTCCTGCCCTCTGCACTGCCGTTCCCTTGCTGTGCTGCGATGACTGTCTGCCGTCTGTCGATGAGTCGATGAGGGTCTGTCGAAAGCCATGTCGTTTGTCCTTCATCATGTTCATGCGACGAGACGACTTGACGACTAGCTGAGGGTATATCCCCTCTAGAGCTCATGCCCTGGCAAGTGCTCTTGGCGACGGCACAGGTCAGACCCACGGCACACCATGTCGGGGCCCGGCGCCCTAACCGTAGGTACCTACTGCCATGGCCGCCTTCGTGCCCTGACGATGCAAGCAGTTGGCTTTCTGGATATGCCTGGATATGCCCTGCTTCGGAGACCTCGACATGCTCTGGCCAACACGACTGTCGGCTGGTGGCCGATGCTGCTAGGTCAGCCCTGCAGTTGCCGATCCTCAGACCTCAAGCTGAAGCTGATACAGAGCACTTTTGTGGCCGGGAAACCTGGCGCACAGTTTATGGGCCCGCGCCTGCATGGTGCCAATCCTGCATCTAGAGGAACAGTTTGCCGTCGGGAGGTACTTGATGATTGCCATGCTCATACCGCTGCGTACCATTGGAGCCTCTGCACCCTGCAGATCGTTCCTTTGCCGAGACTATCTGGCAGGCCCCCAGCGTGTTTGATGGCCGGGATGGTATGACCTGGCCTACTGGCTCTGACTGGAGCGGGAGGCCTCACTCTAAGCTGCGGTAGAAGCTGAGAGTCTTCTGACCTTGGCAACCTTGCGCATTCACAGCTTGCAAGACCATGCCTGCAAACTGATACGGAGTGGTTGGACCCCAAGATCCTGCCTTTCGGGACTGCCGGTGATTCTGCATGCACAAGCATACTCAAGGCCATGCTGATGACCTTGGTATGCCTCCCGTGAGATGAGCTGATGAATGGGCGAAAACTGGTCCAAGCAATGCCTCCGTGCTCCTGCATGGGGGTACTTACAAGGTGGCCCAGTATTCACGGACCTTGCTCTGGCCTTGGAGGCCCAGTTCGACTCGAGCTTTGAACTCCTGGCATGTCACCCTTGGCTGGCCGTGAGAGTTGAGCGCTGGCTGACCTTCTCGAAGTTGAAAGGATTCCCGTGGCTGAGTGCACATGTCCTCAGCTCCGCATGCCGTAGCCTGGTACTTCCCAGACCTCGCCTGCTTCGTCGAGTGCGAGTGCTAAAAAATCATTTAGCTCATCAACTATGAGGCGTGTTTGTCGCGCTTGCAATGTGAAGCGTATGTGCTACAACACGCCAAAGAGCATGGTGATACACTCCGCACAAGTGTCGGCGGAGCATTCTACACGTCCAATACAGCCTGTAGGAGCCTCGCAGATCACCTCCTTTCCCCCTCAATCCCCAAACAAGCGGAAGATAAGCGGTTGAGCACAGAACTCGCCGGGTTACGATAAACGGCTTGGGAGGATGACATCCCTAGTCATGAGGCATTCGCGCCCTACGCGGATATCCTCAGGCGGATAGCTACGCATTTGCCTCGCGAAGTAAAAGGTGAACCCGAAACCCTAAAAGGAGTAAACCCTGGCCGAAGCCTTAAAGGAGTAAACCAGACCGAAACCCAAATGAAAGAAGGCCCACACCTTGTAAGTTTTTTTGCCAGCCGTGGACGGCCAGCCAAAAAAACTTTCGCTCGAGACTGTTGTTTCGCAAGAAGTAAAAAGACACAGGTGACACAGTAAAAAAGACAGAAGCGACACAGGAAAAATGACACAAGTGACACAAGAAGAAAAGAGAGAAGTGATCGGGCATCCCTTGCTCGAAGCACAAAGTTGATAGCTGCTAGCTTCGTGTCCAGAATGCCTCATGCCAGAACATGGGTTCATGGTAGGATTCCAACAATGAGGCATCTCGTGAACATTGTAGTTGTGCAGGCCTGTGCAGCGGCTTTGCTCTTGCAGGCCGATTGAATTGAATGACAGTCCGTTGACAGGTTTTGTTCGCAGTTGCAACGTACATTTGGACCGTGGCTCCTGCAGGGCCTTGCAACAGAGCTTGGCGACACAGCACGCTGTACTCAAAGTCTCTTGCTGTGTGGAGCTTGATGGGAATCCAGTGCATTGTGTGAAGCCGATTCTCTCATTAAGGCTCATTCGGGCCCATGCTTTCGTCACTGACGAACTTGCCTGGGCTGTGGCCTCGGGCTGAGGGACAGAACCGTAAAAGCACAGAAGACCTGCGAATGATGGTGCACGATGGTGCAGTGTGCAGGAGCTAGGTCAAGTTTCAGTGGACACCGTTGGGCATGGACGGGCGCATGCATACATGGTGTTTCGGGGGGATCCTTTGCAAGCAACGAGAGAGAGGGAGAGAGCAAGCAAACAGCAGCAAGCAAGAAAGAGAGAGAGAACCGCTCGCCGAGTTGACGGTGGGGAGACAGTACATAACCCGAGTTGTGCCTGCAGGTGCTTTTCGGTCATGGTTTAGGAAGGTGTTCTTGGATGATCTTGGGGGTGAAGAGTTGCAGGCTCATTCGGGGAACACGCTGACAAATCCGAATCCGACTGTCAGCCGCGAACGGTTGGGGGGTAGTCCCTCGGGCCGTGTCGGGGGCCCGAACTGCAGAAGGGGACGAGGGACAAGCAAGTGTAAAACCTCGCCTCGTCAATGGGGTGCGCCGGTGGCTCCAAGCAATCCGAGGTGTGGGGAGCAAGTAACTGTATGGGCACGACAGGAGAAACACAAGACTGTGTTCTCTTCGCAAGCCGAAGCCAAGCGCCACACCGAGAAAACTGCCGCTGGCGGCAGGAGAACTGAACCCAGATGCAGACAAGACGGGCATCCTCGCCGACTTCGCCACTCCTCCTCGTCGCCCTCGTTTATAAGTACACCCAAAGAGAAAAAGCGCAGGACCGCAGGTAACAGGAAGGGTTTCTGACCCGACGTGGTGGCAGGGTAGGCTCTGCAACTCTGGTGAGTCCTGTTACCTTCGCCGAGCGCGGTGGCAAGAAACGCTCCAGAGTTTCCTGGTACGTGTACTTGCTTTTGCACTTCTGCTGGTTCCCCTGTCGGTGCGGGTGGTAGTGCAGTGGTGCCTTCGTCTCTGGTGCCTCCTTGCGCTTGAGCCGTAGTCCTTGTGAGCGAACGGGTCACCACGGGCAGTGAGCAGGAATCTCAATAGTGGTCAGCGGAGCGGGCATTCCGACGCGCCTCACCGTGGGCAGTGGATCAGCCCGACTCTGGTGCGCAACAAAGCCGGAGCCTCATCAAGAGCATCCTCCAGGCCACTTCGAAAGTCAGGTAAGATCAAGAGCACGGTCGGTTGAGTCGCCGTCAAGATAAGAGATACAAACCCTCCACTCAGCTGGCGCCCAGAAGGAAAGCCATAAAATACTGATGACACGTTTGTTTTCAGATCTCGCTTGTGCTCTATGTTGTCGTGTTCCCTTTTATTTGTTTCATACCGCAACTTTTAAAGGATCCAAGGCTCAGATTACAACAATGATGCAAGCAAGCAGCTAAAAGATTCAGATTGCGGCAACCATGCAACAAGCAATTCGGAGTATATTCATCAGCTAGAGTAATTTTCCCCAGATGCGCCATCTTGCAAGGACGTTACACTGCAGTCACAGAAGCGTCTTCGTTGGCTGGGGACTTCTGTGATGCACTCCAGCCCCCATGTTTGTTACTTCGCCGCTAGAGACAGGACACACGCACACACACACACGGAGGCCGAGAAAGAACGCATAGGATGTCCACATCTGGGACATGGTAGGGTAGTAGGGCCACGTGGTGTAAGAAAGTTGTGCTTGTGGCTCAGTGGATTATGGGTGGCACCTTGTGGTCCACTTCTGAAGCTGCCTCAGCACGACCTCCCTAGTCTCGAAGAGGCCCGGTTGTGAGCTTGTGCATATGCAGGCCATCGGTGCAGACGATGCAGGTAGCCTTGCAGAGATTGCCTAGGCCCAAACTGACCACATCATCACCAGTTCAAGAGTGGCTGGATGCAATTTCTTTGCACAAGGTTTTTCTACGGCGAGAACACTGTGCAGCAGCTCCTTGCCCAGCGTATCGATGTGTGCTGCTGTCGCGGGCATCGCAAAAAGCAGTCTCAGAACCTAGATTCGCCGAGAAGAGCTGAAACGACTTGCGCCGGCAGCTGATCGTATGCTATGTACAGTTCGCAGCAGTTCGCAGGTGTTCGTACGGCACTTGGTCGTACAAAGGCTCCCGCCTGCAACAGCCTCCTGGTCCCGAGGCGAGACTGTGCGCTGGACTTTGGGACCACGTCTTTTAAACGGGTCGGCAACAGATGGTAATGGTGAGACAATGGTGTGTGGAAGTGGTTTCATGTGCACTGACCTTGAAAGGACGCTCGCACCGAGCACTTACAAACTCTTGATGTGTGAACCACACCCTGTGCTGGCGTCTGCAATGTGCCTCCATAGCCAGAGGGTCGAACAGCAGCAGAGTGGCACCGACGCTTTCATGCGCTCTGGCAGACACTTGTGATATGCCTGGGCTCACCCAGCTTGATGCATGGTCGGTTTGTGATTGTCCAATGTGCCGAGAAGTGCAGAACATGACAGGTATTGAGTCTGGCAGATTTGTGGCAAACGACCAGGTGGCCATCTTGGTTGCCGTCCGACACCTGGAATGATCAAGCTGCATGCAGACGGAGTGCACGCGTCCACGCTGGATGTTGCAGGCCACGCCGAACCAGTACGAAGCTTTGAGTTGCCAGTTACAATTGACTTACCCGATCCAGCAATTCGGTGCCGGTGAATGCTGTTTTGCAGCGAATAGCGCGAGTCTGGCCCTGTTGGTGCGTACTTGTGCTTGCTGGATTGCTGGAGACCTCAAGGGAACCACACCGGGGAAGACGAGAGCGGATCCGCAGCGTTTCGCGCGGGCAGGGCTGGAGGGCAGACGACTGGGATTGCGCCCTGGAGTATTAGCCAACCGATTCCACGTGAACAAAAGAGAAGCTTCTTGTGATGTACTGATGTGGTGGTCAACAAGGGGTCGAAAGGGCATGAAATGGAAGTGTCGGAGCGGAAAGCTTCAAGCATCATCACACACATCGGGTTTTTTCAGATTGCAGCGCGGTGTAGTTGGGGAGGACGAACATCGCGTGCTGGGGGCGAACGACAGCTCGCACAAGAGCAAACACAAAGATCTCCAGGAGGAGCTAAATCAAGTACATGTACCGAGGATCCATGCGTACCAGCCTTTCTTGAACCTCTGGCGGTGCTATTCTCTGCGCAGGAAGCTTAGAAAACCCACCAATGTCTGTCGTGTTTGTCTCCATTGCTGCAGGATGCACCAGGCGAGCATTGAGATTGCTCTGATTCGTGCCAATAAAGAAGCTTGCAGACTTGGTCAAAGGTGCTTAAGTACACTGTTACAGGTCATGGCTTCGCCTTCATCTTGGAGACTGATGACACAGAGGCCCCATCTCTAGTTCCGAGACTTAACAGTGGGCGAGAGGAAGTGTGGTGAGCATGAAGGTGCGGCCTCCGCATCATCGCGCGCCTAATTGGCTGCGCTGGTTCACAGCTGCAGCCCCAGGCAATGTCTTTTTGCCCGGCTGCGGAAAAGCAGCGCAGCCACAGGCCAAGAAGTACCTCAGCTACTACAAGGCTCAGCCGCTGGCTCGCAGGAATTTGGTCAAGCTCGGCTCTACCCGAGAGAGATGGAGGCGCTGTTGGTTGTGGATCCTGACCAGTTCGTGGTACCAGAATGCTTTCGTCCCAGCATCTCGCAACTTCTTGTGAAAGCCCTCTCAGATCTCGTATCGGAGGTTGGAACGTGTCGATTCCCGCTGTCCTCGGAGCATGGGCTGGTGTGGTGCTCTTTGATATCTTGCAGCCGTCATCCCTAGCTAGGGCCTATAGTCTGGAACTGCTCATGAGGTGGCCTCTATGGTTCTCCCGACGTAGCTACTCGTGATTTCGGCCGTCCTCAGACTTTGAACAATGGGGCGGCTTGGCGCAACCCGACTCCCACCAAGCCATGGCACGGAGTCGTGAGCCGGTGTTGTCCAAGCAAGCCTCATTTGGGCACAGGTGGTGCTGATTCGTTCTTCGAGCCGTGGGCACTTCTTTCTGGATCTTCTCCTGGAGAAGGCTTGCATCTACTGTGTCAGCAAAGCAAAGCCACAGAGGTCGATCCCTGCTCTGCCTCTCATTACTTTGACATGGGCTTGCGAACAAAAGTCCCAACTGCTTGGCGGTGGACAAACAAACAACGAAGCACACATATTGTACATCGAAGAAACAACTTCACTCGAAAAAAGATACTGGCTTGAATTTCTCGGGCAAGGACATCAATTTTATATTATGCATTTGTGTTAAAAAAAAACTTGTTATGGCGGCATTCCACTGCAGCCAGCTGTATGATCACCCTTATCAAAGTTATGAACTCACACCGACTGGGCCCACTGTCATGAACACGACTATGATCACGAAGTTCTTGTGGTTAACTCGGCACAATATTGCAGCGGCGTACGCAAATACTTATTTCATTCCGTTTAACCCGCATAACACACGCACATGTACATATGTTCGCCTAGCTATGGTTAGGTAGGTCTGGGCCAGGAGGATCACATCACTGCAGGCGATCAGAAGCTCTCTTTGATCTTTGAGATATGTGGTCCCTTCGTGGCCATTTTGGGTCAAGGTGTTCACCTTGACGATCCGCGAAGGATTGCTCAATTTTCGGTGATCAGGTACTCAGCTCTAGGGCCTGGGAGATCGAAGCCATGGCTGGTTGGGGTGTTCCAGTTCAATCTTGGGATCACTACCAAGGTCAGGGCCAAGATCAAGGCCAGGGCGGAGGATGGGGCGGGCCAGCTCGCCGCGAAGATCGGTGCGGTCGCAGCCGAGGGGGAGGTGGGTCGTTCCCTGCGGCTCACAACCCTTATGAGGTCAAGCTCCCCCACTTCATCGAGTCGATCGCCGAATGTGAAGACAATGAGCGAAAGACTTCCATCAGCATGGTGGACAAGCGGGATGATCGGATCGTGTCGCCTTTTCAGGCCTGGCTAGTTCGTGAGATCATGACGAACTCCTCGAGCTCTATCAACGTGCTCACGGAGAGAGATCAGGTGATGCCACCTCAGTCAGGTTATCACCTGTCTCTCTTCGCGAACCATACGCTCGATGGCTTCAAGGCGACGGTCGCGATCTCGATCGACTCGCAGACCGGGGCTCCTTGTGGTGGATGGGATCCTGCCACCGCAAATGCTCTCAGCCACGTGGCTTTTCAGCCGTTTTCGTGGCCGGTGCTCAACGACACATCTCCTGACACGGATGTGAAGATCTACAACGGGAATGAGATCCTGTTCCACTGGATCTTCAGAGGCTTTCGCGCTGACACCGATCTTTCCGTTCAGCAGCAGTTCGCCGATGAGTTCTTCATCAAGGGTGTCTGCCGCTGTCGTGTTCGTTGCAAAGGACCAGGACGCACCGTCTGTCGTGTTGAGTTGTCTGTGGTGGTGGCAGCTTTTTCAGGCTGGCGGGGCTCCGTGTTCTCCTTCGAATGCGGAGGTCGGACCTATTCGGTCGGCCCCAATGGCACGGTGATCGCCGGCGAATGCCGGCGACAGTGCAAGGTCGCGCTACGGACCGCTCGTCTGAGGATGCCGTGGGCCGTGGGGAATGATGCAGATCGGGTGGAGTTCCGTGACTCCAACAACCGCATCGATCTGAAGTGTGCTCGCACCTCCGTGCCGGCAACTTGGCTCACGGTGTCGCATATCAGCGGCCCCACCCTCTCTAGACAGACATGCTGCAAGAGGCAGCACCGGCCGATCGATGGACCGCCAAGATCTTAGCCTAACCGTGTTTCGATCGGCCCTTTGTCGAGGCCCTTCTCAGGACACGACTCTCGAACTTGCAGCTGGTTCTGGCGATGGAGGTCGATTCGCCGGGCACGTTCGCAGCCAAGGCTTTCGAATGGACAGCCAAGCTCGCACCAACAGAGCACGAGGTCTTCTCCTCCCGGCCACACATGCTAGAGCAGTTCTGGGTGTTTGCCAAGGCGGCTGAGACGGTCTTTTCGGAGTACCAGATGGGCTTCGGTCGGTGCGAGAAAATTCCTCGACAGCGGGACGCGAAGTCGATCGCTCAATTCCAGCGGGACTTGGCGATCCGTGCCCTGGCCGCACCTGTTCTGGCACCTAAGGCCAAGTCTACGCCCTCGGCAGGTTCCGCCTCCAGCTCTACTACACCACTCTTAGATCTGGAGAATGCCGAGAAGCAGAAGTGGGCAAAGAGGCTCAAGGCTATCGCCGAACGTGCAGGTGCTCATGCAAAGCCTCTTTCTACCACAGACAACGAGATCCTTTCGGCCGAAGAAAGAGCTCGTCTCCAGCTCTTGGTGTTCACCTCGGGAGCTCCCTCGACCATGGCGAATCAAATCAGGCGGTTCGAAAAGTTCGGAGCATGGGCTCGCCGCTCTTCGCTCCCTCTTTACCCGATTACGAACGATCTGATCTTGAAGTACGCGGTGGAGCTTGATGGTCGGGAATGCGGGCCGACGGTGATCCCGTCGTTGCGGATGGCTCTCAGATGGGTGTCCTTTCGGACGAATATCAAGGTGCCGTCTATCGACACAGCTCCCCTCAAGGTGCTCGAGAAGGAGGTTTTCACACAACGAGGCAAACCGCTCAAAGAAGCAGATCCAATTCCCATCGAGCTCGTGATGGCAATGGAGAAGTACGTCGCCGACGATCAGATGCCAAACCCAACTCGAATTTTCATGTGGTGGACGTTGTGCATGATCTTCGCCTCCCTGAGGTTCGACGACGCCATCCATGTCAAGCCGCACGAGCTCGAAGTGAAGCCGGAGGGTCTGTTCGGCGTCTCTTGGCAAACAAAGAGCGAGCGCAAAAGACGCGGGACTGAGTTCTGTTCCCCGATGGTTCGTTCTCGAAACATTCTTGGTTCAAGACCGGCCTCAACCTCTTCGAGCTGGAGTTCCCTCTCGTGGAGCGCGACTTTTGGATACCAGATCTAGAGTCAAAAACACAGTGGCGCACAACCCCGCCAGACTATGCGCGATCGCTGCAATGGTTGCACCATTTGATCTGGCACGCGGGCAAGGAAGCTGGTGCCAGTCAGGAAGCTCTGCAGAAAGTTACAGCTCTTACGTGGCACTCGGCCCGGGTCACTATGCTTGATCAGGCCGTCCACTGCAAGCGCACCGAGCACAGGTCCGCTCGTGCTCAAGTACACCCGGTCACGCTCCTCTTTGCCAGCTCTCATGATCAAAGATCTGGTCTCCGAGGTCTCTAAGGAGTATGAGCCCGAATGTGCTCGCGAAGACGACGCCATCGACGATCCTGAAGATCGCGGCGACTGTTTGACAGAGTTCTTCATTAAAGCTCCTGAGAAGGGAACCAGCTATGAATATAAGTTTCATGGTCTGTTCAGCCGAATCGATTGAGGAGATCGCTTGCAAGCGAGAGATCACCTCTGAGTTCGTGCATATAGGGTCGGTTCTTCCTGACCCGAAGATGTTATGCAAACTCTGTGCACGTGCTCGACCGGACGTACTGCTAGCACTTATAAGCTCTGAAGACTCCGCCATGCTCAGTGTATGTCTGTCTTGTTCAAGTGTCTTTTCGAGCGCTCGCTTCTTGGCTCACATAGAATCGTCGTCATGGTTGATCGCACCGTCTACCCTGACAAGGACAGGGTCCCGGAGCTCGCCCTGCAGCAGATCTTCGGTCGACAGAAGCTGCCTGAGGATCTCTGCTTACTGCTCGCCGACAAGGGAATGCTTTCGGTCGAGCGGGTGGCTATGCTCGGCGACACCACCACCTCGGTCAAGGCCACGATCAAGGCCATCGTTGGGGACGACGCCAAGTTCGGGCCAGACGAACCCGCCAGGGAGCTCTCCCTTACACTGTTGGCGGCGGTCTGGAAGTCTGCGTCCACGTTGCAGGAACACGTGGCCACTCGGCGGGCGAAGATGCAGGAGGATCCCTCGAAGATCCCGGAGATCCCCGGAGAAGATCACGCAGAGTTTCGGGAGATCTTCGTGAACCAGCACCCAGACGTGATTCTTACTTACATGCGCGAGCCGCACCGGAAGTTCGTTGAACGCATCCATCGTGACTACATGGTCCACGGGGCGGTCGCCTTTTACGAGGTCGCCGAGATGCGCTCCCGATCTGATCAGATCGTCTCAACCTCCGGTTTTTCCAAGACCTCAGATGATCTGCAGAGGGTCGTCCAGCATGACAACAAGATCTCGGTCACGTCAGAAGGCAGTGTCAATCGACTTCATGCATTCTTTGTGGCGCTCGAGTATCTCAACATTTGCGAGTTCACCATGGAGGCAGGGCCGCTCAAGTACCTTTCTGAGCTCGAGGAATGGCGCCATGAGAACCGTGGTCTTTCGCTGCTCCTCTCAGCAGACTCCCTGCTCAGGAAGAAGGTCTGGAAGCTCTCCAACGACAAGCGGAAAGACTTCCCTACTTGCTCGTCGGCTCTCAAAGAAGTTCCAAACAACCACAAGCAGCTCTGGAACGACGCCCGTTCGACGGCGGAGCTCGACAAGTTCAAGCAGGTGGAGCACGATCCGACTGCTACGAAAAGAGCCAGGTCTACCTCGCCGCCTCCGCCTCCCACGCCGACTTCGGAAGCTCGCGCGAAGAAGAACCGGGCTCGCCGTGAGAAGCAGAAGGCTCTTCTGAAACGAGCTCGCGAGCTCGCCAAGGACAAGGACAAGTCGGGGAAGCCGTCAGGAAGGGCAAAGCTCACACAGCCCGAGCCGATCGCGACCCTCGCATCCCCGAGAAGGAATGGAAGAAAATCATGTCTTTCACCTACACTGGACCTACACGGGAGCTCGGCGGTGCCCTTGGTTCAAAAATTTGCTTGGCTGTCGCTTTGGTGATCAGTGCCGTAACAAGCATACCTGCGTCCAGTGTGGGGGCGATCACCCCTACCATGGCAACCACTGAGCTCCCGTTGCTTCGCCTGGGTTCTGTGGTCTGGGAACCCTGGGCAACAAGCTCGACAGACCACCGCGGGGATTTCTCCCTCAAACAGCCAAAGTCGTCTCAGGCTTCTTTGCCCGCGACGACACGTGAAGCTCCTTTTCAGAAGCTGATTTCGCCTGATCTTGGCTCGGCCCCGCCTTGGTCTACTTGGTCGCAGGTGCCTACGGTCACGTCAAGCTCTACGACGAGTTGCTCGAGGCCTCGAAGTGTGCCGACCGTTCTCTCGCGCACGGTCTGCACGCTGGTTTCCCGATTGTCGAGCCCATCCAACGATCGGGGCGCTGGCCTGCATACCCCAAGCCTCAGGATCCTGTTCAGGTCTCCGAGGCGGAATCTCGGGCCTGGGAATTTCGCAAGAAGATCTTTCGCAGATGCAGTGCAGTTCCGGTTTCTGACAATTTGCGCTCGCTTTGGAAGTCTACGATGGAGGATGTCGCGGAGGGCTCCACTGTCGGTCCTTTTCAGACTGAAGACGAAGTGACTCAGTTCTTGGGCTGCGACGATTGGATCCCTACGCAGAGGTTCGAGGTCGTTCAGAAGAACAAGGTCCGGGGGTGTGACAGTGACAGTGCCACCTCCAACTTGATCAACAAGACGGTGGTGATCACCGAAAAGCTGCAGCTCCCCTCTACGGATCTTAACGTTGCAGTTCTTCGTGAACTGAGGACCAGGGCTGGCGATCGTCGTCTTCAAGGTTGGGTTCTCGACGAGAGGAAGGCCTATCGGCAGCTGCCGATCTTGCCGCAACATCGCAAGTTCAGCGTGATCTGCCTGAAGGACCCTGAGGACGATCGTCCCAAGTACTTCGTGATGATCGGCCACTCCTTCGGGTTGGTCTCGGCGGTGTACAACTACAACCACCGCTCGGCTGCTCTGAACGATGTTTTCACCCGCCTGTTCAAGATGGTTTCGTTCAACCTCTACGACGACAAGTCGGCGAAGCTCGTCGCTTCTGGTCGCGTCGTTCGACCAGAAGAAGCTCCAGCTTTCGTTCCTCCCGGTGGTCCTGGGGGTAACCTTCAACCTGGAGCTTTCTCCTCGAGATCAAAGAGGAAAGGAAGGCCGAGCCTGGATTCAGGTGCCTTGGATCCGGGTACGGCAGGCAAGCTCAAGGGCAAGCTCATGTTCGGCGCGAGCCAGCTCTGGGGCAAGGTGGGTCGGGCTTTTTTCCGGCCTCTCTCTGAACAGCAGTACTCCAAGGATCTCAGTGGCGATCGCATGGACCTCAACGAAGCCCTGAAGCGATCGCTGATCTATTGGCGGGGCCTCATCGAGTTCGGTCCACCTCGGGACATCCCTTTGCGTGCCTCGAAGAGGTCAGACATCGTGATCTTCACGGATAGCTTCAGTCCTGATCAGAGGAAAGCTGAGAGCGGACCCGATCGGGTCGGAGCAGTGATGTTCGATAGGCGGGGGCTCTCGCCGAAGCAGTTCACGGAGGTGATCCCCCATTCGGTTTCTGAGAAGTGGATCCCGCGGAAAACCCAGATCGTCCCTATCGAGATGATCGCTCCGATCTTAGCTCTCGAAACGTTCCGAGACCATGTCCGTAATAAGGACGTCATTCTTTTGATCGATTCGGAGGTTGTAGAGGCATCCTTGGTCAAAGGATACTCCTCCAAAGAAGATCTGTGTGAGCTCGTTGAACTTTTTTGGGAACTTTCGCTCGAATACCGAGCCAGTTTCTTCATTGATCGTGTTTCAACTGATGCCAACCCTGCATCTCCAGATCGGCGAGTCGGCGGGGTGGGAGACGGTACTATGTTCGTGGCCTGCGGCTCTCGCATGAGAAAGGGATCGTGGGCCTAGGGAGAAGCTCGGGTCTTGAGGGTCGGGAAGACTCGTTCGAGACTTCGGCGGTCGGTCCCGCGAAGGTTGTACTGACTGCTCGTTCGAGCTTTTCTGCTACGGACTACTTCTCTCGAGGTGGTCGGTGGCCGGGTGTGAGCGGTTCGGGGATGTTACAGTTCGCTTTGTGATGCTCGATGTGCCGCTCGACCCCATGCCAGAGTGGTCTAGAAAAAGTTCTGCACAACTCTGCTCTTCTGTGGCTGCCGTTCAGTGAGTTCTATCGAACGTGCGTGCGGGTGGTGTGGTTCGCCTAGCTACGGTTAGGTAGGTCTGGGCTAGGAGGATCACATCACTGCAGGCGATCAGCAGCTCTCTTTGATCTTTGAGATATGTGGTCGTGGCCATTTTTGGTCAAGGTGTTCACCTTGACGATCCGCGAAGGATTGCTCAAATTTCCCCACCCAACCCACCCTGTTTTGAGCTCGGGTCTTGAGGGTCGGGAAGACTCGTTCGAGACTTCGGCGGTCGGTCCCGCGAAGGTTGTACTGACTGCTCGTTCGAGCTTTTCTGCTACGGACTACTTCTCTCGAGGTGGTCGGTGGCCGGGTGTGAGCGGTTCGGGGATGTTACAGTTCGCTTTGTGATGCTCGATGTGCCGCTCGACCCCATGCCAGAGCGGTCTAGAAAAAAGTTCTGCACCACTCTGCTCTTCTGTGGCTGCCGTTCAGTGAGTTCTATCGAACGTGCGTGCGGGTGGTGTGATATATATATATATAAAGATATACACTCGTAACATAGAATTGGTTTGAATGCGCGAGAAATTGAAACCATTATTTTTGGTTATTCCAGGACGTTAAATGTTTATAACAAGATATGATATCCAAACCAAACATTAAGACATGAGCATTGCAACATGTCTTACTTTTCACAATGACATTTTCAGGGCAGCATTATATAAAGTATGAGAAACGATGAAACAATAATACATATCTTAATTTTTGTTCTTGAAATCTTCGTGCTAAAACAAAACAGAATGAATTAGACTCTGCCTGCACCAGTAAATCGAGCGCTCTCTTTAGACGGGGTGGGCTGGCCAATTTCAGTTATATTTGGGTATGATTGTGAACATTTAGTTTCGGGAAAGTGGACACATATCCTGGCCCGGTGAAGACTTATTTTGGTGGGAAAATGAACACTTACCCTGGCCTGGCGAACACTTATTTGGTGGGAAAGTGAACACGTATCCTGGCCCGGTGAACACTTTTTGTGGTGAGAAAGTGAACACATATTATGGCATTTTTATACATTTTTCAAAATGAAAGCTGGATGGCTTTCAAGCCCCAAGATCCTTGGAATCCCACACTCTTATCTCAGCCGCGTGTCAGACGTGGAGGTTCTGAAGCAGGCCGCGGCCAAACCATATTCCAAAAATTTGATGTACAGGCAGCTCATTGGCAGGATTGCTGCGCCTCCTTCCGCGGACGTCATGCGAACATGTGTTTTTCCGGAAGGTTCGTTTCAGCTCCAAGGTCAAACGAAACCGAGATGTAGAGGCCGCCCCAAACAAGTGTGGACCTCCAAGGGTCCCAGGTGTATCAGCTATCTAAACAGGTGGAAGGAGTTTTTGAAGAGTTGAGTCTTGGATGGTCGTCTCCACCGAACATGTGGCGGCAACGTGTGCAATCTTTTTGCTTCGGGAACTAATTGTTCCTTCATGCCCATGTGTCGCTGTACAGGAGGCTTTGACTGACTGACTGACTGACCGACCGACCGACTGACTGGCTGACTGTTAGAGGAAAGGCTTAAAGAATGAACCATGAATTTTTTGTTTTGTATTATAGAGGGTCTTCTGACTGGCTGACTGTTAGAGGAAAGGCTTAAAGAATGAACCATGAATTTTTTGTTTTGTATTTACGGCGCTGTCAAGACCCTCTATGGCCTGCCCCCGCTTGATTCGGCTGGGTTCCCACAAGCCCTACTTATTTGAGGTATGTTCAACCATTCGCTGGCTTTCCTCTCTGGGAAAGAGCAGAGGCGGCCTGGATGCAGAACATCGAGAAGGACCAGGGAGCCTTCGACGAGACTGTATTGGAAGTTCTTGGCATGGAGGTCCGGTTAAATGGTTTCAATTTTCGAGACCACTGAACTGATAAATAAGATGGCGCTGAGGCAACAGCTCGAGGCGAAGAAGGTGTGCCTGAAGACGTGACGTCAAGAGATGTCGAAGAACAGCCACAGCTTCACACTAACTAACTCGAGCATCTTCTGTGATCTTGGCTTGATGCTCGAGCTGAGATTGGTTCCCGTCGCTCTCCGAGATTAGTGCAGCTTGAAACCCCAGCTGCATGCAGGCTACACTTCTGAATGCGCACAATATGTGTGGCCAAATGCGAACGGTAATCACGAGGCACGCCCGGTTCATACTGTGAATGCAGAGCCTTGACTGAGCAAAGGGCGACAGGTACGGTGGGCACTTTGTTTGTGCAAGACTGTCAATGCATGAGGATGAACACAAAAAAAGTTTGCGCTCGTTTTCCAATTCCCGACGCATTTTGCTCGTGGTTTTCTTGCGTGTGGCGTGTGCTAAGAGGATTGACGGGAGCATTAGTTGGTCAAGATGTGGTTTGTCAGGCTGTCGCAGACTTCATGACATCCGATGGGCGGGTTCATGAACTTTTTACGATGGCTCTTTATGCCGTCAACTCTCACTCGTTTTGAGTCCAAGACGCTTGAGCACCGCCTTATGCGACTGCGGTGAATTCCAAGCCCCTAGAGCAACCCGAAGTCCAAGTCCAATCGCATGCACTCTCCGAGCATTTCCTGCTACCTTCTGATCATGACCTCGAAGGTTGCTAAGTTCAGGTGTCCAGCCTCAGAACCCCAGATTACAAGGGCAGGTTGTGTTCAGCATCAGGGTTTTTCAAAAATACAAGGGGTCAGGGGGTCATTACCGCTACCTCCCTGGAGAACCTGGGCTGCATCTTCTGCCACTGTGCTCGTCAGACGAACTGGCCATGTGGGTAATTACTCAGGTAGTTCTTACCGCTGAGTACAGTATTCCGAACAACCGGGAATCCCAACTGAAGTGCCTTTACATGCATGTTTTGCGCCGTTCAAACTGCCATTGACATGCACTTAAATAGATCTCGTTGCCATCTTCGCACTTGTCAAAGAATCAGAAGCTTCCCTGCGTGTGAGATCGATCGCGTGCCGCGTGGCGCGTGGTGGCGTGGCGTGGCGGGGCGGGGCGTCGCACGAGCACGGGTGTGTGTGTGTGTGTGTTTGTGTGTGTGTGTGTGGGTGGGTGTGGGGGGGATGCCTTATTAATTTCTAAGCCACAGGTTTCTGGAGACACAAGTGCAGGATAGTGCAGGGGGGCAGAGGAGGCCCATAG